CAGGATATTTATGGCTTGACTTTCTCCAGTTGTTGGAGAACACATGTTCTGAACAAATGTTACCAAACATTATTATTGACCTTTGAAAAGAATGACTTTTAGCAATTTGAAAATCCTTTTTAGTCCTCAATTCTTGCTAATTTAAAGAGCTCTAGATCCACATATCCTAGAAAATAAGCTGCCTAATATATCCTCTGTATACATAGATTTATGAACCAATAAAGTTTTCAAAAACAGTTAAGATTTCAAATGTGTTTATGATAATTGGATCAAATGGATACTAGTCTAACATGAAAGTACTCACAGAAAACTGATCATGTCAGGCTCGATGACATTTTAATTACAAAGGATATTGAATGCCCTAGGATGACAGCTCTATATTATAATAGATGTAACACTGAATTAGGAAGAGGAAAAGTGAGATTTTTCCTTAGTTCTGCTTGAAATCATCCATTTTCGGTAAACCATTGAGCCATTCTATGTTTCAGATTTAATATCTTTATTTAAGAATTGCCCAATTTATTTATATAAAGAAAAGCCAAACATTAAAATAAGATGTTCATTGATCTGGAAATCTCGTGTATGTTCTGCGTTTTCAATTCAGTTCTGAAAAGCTGGATTTGGTATCAACTAAAGAGTAAGTTGTAGATGCTTCAAACAAAATGATATTAAGCTTTTTTGAGCTCATTAGTACAGAGATGCTTTATAAACAGTATCCAGTACTAGATTTTCATCCTTAATTCTGCCAACCAAATACAGTATACTTTCTTTGCTTGTGATTACAAAAAACAAAAACAAAACTGAAATTTAGAGTATATCTCTCTTTGATATACTCGTTCCTTTCTCTCCAGGTTATTTGGATAATTTCATGAGACTTCCTTTCTTGTACTCCCCTTTCCTTTTTTCTAGATAATAATGATTGAAAACTTATATAGTAAAAATTCTATATGCTTCATTGCAATAGGCTTCCTAGTAACAACTATTTATAGTAAGTACTATATAGTCTTTATTTTACTAAACAGAGATTTAAACAATTAAACAACCTTCCTAAGGACACACAATTAAAACCCAGCAAGTTCTGGGTAGCAAGAATAGTTTGCTTTCTATAACTGACCAAAAGGTTGGTGGTTCAAATCAACTCAGTGTCACAGTGGAAGAAAGCCTTGGTTGTCTACTTCCAGAAGGTACAGCATTGAAAACCATAAGTGTAGTTCTTTAATGAGGCAACATAGCATTAGAATCAGAAAAATAAAAATGGATTTTGTTTAGAACAAGATCTGAAAAGTCTGGTTTTATGCAAAGAAACATTACTATAAGATGGCTGTACCTAAATGGGTCATCTAATCAGATAATGTGATTATAAACTTTAAGTGGGATTGGGGGCGTGGGTAGTCTATAAATGCTAAGGGAATTGAATGCTAGATTCTCACTCCCTAAAAGAAGCTTTGTAAAATATTTTGAGTTTACAAGAAAATTGAAGAGTTGGCAAGTATTTTCTAAATAATGTTAGGAAAAAATATCTTTGATAAGCAAGGTTTTAGGTAACATTAATTATTTCATCAAAATTACTTAAAGGGGTTTTAAAAAGTCTTTTAAAAAACAGTTTTCTTGCCATGTAATTCACATATCATACAATTCAGTCATTCGATTGTATTTTGAAAAGTCATACAATCATTTCCACAATCAATTTTAGAATATTTTCTGCTTTCTTATACTTATTGTTATTAGCTCCCCACTGCCTCCCAACCTTCCCTGCCAAACCCCCAAGAAACCACCAATGCAATCATTCTCTCTGTAGCTTTACCTATCCTGGATTTTGTATACAAAAATTACAAAAAAGAATTTTTAACATTTGCAGGAAACACAGTACATCTTAATTTGTTTAAGAATGAGGATTTACATTTACCCCCCTACAATATATTGTATACATAATGTTGACAGAATTATGTAACAAAACTTACCACAAGGAATAAGTGAGTGACATTTATATCATAAAAATCTAACTTATTTGTAAAACCCATTATTTAGACAGACTATTGTAGGTCCTACATCATGATTTTTTATTAGTCATTTTATTGGGAGTTCATACAGCTCTTATTACAATCCGTAGATACATCCATTGTGTCAAGTACATTTGTTGCCATCATCATTTTCAAAACATTTTCTTTCTACTTGAGCCCTTGGTATTGCCAAATCGATTTCCATAGTGGCTATACATACTTACAGGTCCACCAGCAGTGCATGAGAGTTCCTATCTCACCACAGCCCCTCCAACACTTGCTACTTTCCGATTTTTTGAATTGGGCTATCTTTGAGGGTGTTGAGTTGCATCTTATAGTTGTTTTAATTTGCATTTCTCTTATGGCTAATGATCAAGAACATTTTCTCATATGTTTATTGGCCATTCGGATTTCTGCCCTTGGGAAACTTCTGTTCTGCCCACCTTCTCAGTGGGCAATTCGTTTTTTTCTTTTTCGAAGCTAGTGAAGTACTGTAGATTTTAGTAATAAGGCCCTTGTCTGCTGTGTCATTGCTAAAGATGTTTTCCCAATCTGCGGGCTCTCTTAGTACTTTCTTGGTGAATTCTTTTGACTTACATCATAATTTTGCTAAAGCCAGCCATTTAAAAAACATATACAGAAGATTGGATTGAAATCTCTTAAAGAGAAAGAAATGTGTAGTTATAAAAACAACTGAATAGGCCCTCATATAAGTGTGTTAGTCTGGGTAGACTAGAGAAACAAATTGATGGACACTCTCATATGTGTTTAGGAAAGTGCATTATATACAAGAGCAGTTGAATATTGAGAATATATCACAGCCCAGCTCAGATAAAAGTCCGTAAGTCCAATATTAGCCCATATGTCCAATACCAATCTACGAAGCCCTGTTCAGACTCATGAAATACATGCAGTGACATTGAGTGCAGGAAGATCACAGACCATTGGGTGCAAAGTCAGTGACAGTTAGAAGCATCTCAGCGCTGGCAGGGGTCTCCATGTGGCTCCTCAGTTCCCAGAGCTGCATCAGGGTAGGTCCTTGTGGCTTCTTAGGGATGCCTCGCAAGAAGTCAGCCTTGTCAGTATAGCATCTCCAAGGAAGTGAGCAGAGAGACAAAGTGTCTCCTGCCTCCAAGGAGGAAATACCAGAGTTTTCCTAGAATCCTTAGGTGAAGGCCATGCCCACAGAGGCCTCATTGGCTGTGACCCGATTGACAGACTAGACTCCACCCCTTCACTCTTAATCCTCTCAAGTCCCAAATTGACACCAGATTATGTAACTAACACAATAAGATACTTGAAAATTAATAGCTTGAAACCAATAGTGTGATTCTTAATGAGGAGCAGAGATATAGTGGTTGAATAGTGTGTTAGACTTTTAAGAAAGAGTGACATGTAAGAGAACTTACTGGAGCGTCTGTAAGTTTCTTCACCTTTCCAGCATCCCGGTTCTTCAACTATACCCATCTCATTGGGTTCTTGTGAAGATGAACTCCATTAAGTTCTAAGCCATCAGGATTCAAGGGGATCGCCGCCCCCACAAAAAAGAGCAACTACTCCTTGATAAGGTGTATGGTGAATATATTAGTGGATACTTTTGACCTTTCTTAGAGGTGTAGATGCATTTTTACAAAACAGCAAACATGATGGGCAAACAAAGGAGAAACCGTGGCTTTCATATACCCTGAACTTATAACATGTCTTGCAAAATAGCTTAAATTCAGGGTACCTCAACCATATCTACATTTTTTGAAGAAGAAAAAGTAAAAAAGGATCAAAATAAATGAATGAATATTTTGGCTTAGCCCTATCAAGGTCAATTATTCTCTGCTTTGAATGTTTTTTTACTGAAATGATGTGTTTTCATAATGGAACACATTTTGAATGAAATAAGCAGTTTTTGAGGTACTAGGGGTTTTGATACAATTAGTGAAACATATATGACCCAAGAGGTCTTGGGTCTCAACTAGGGGGATGAGACCTATTTTTCATATTTGCAGTTACAGGTGCTGCCTCATCAGATGACAGCATGCATTGAAAGCGGGCTAACAGTCTCCCATTAAAACTCAGAGGCACAAAAGATAGACGAGGACAATATGCCCGCTGGGTCACAAAATAGTTAAAATTCACTTGAGAATAAGGATCTTCGCCAGTGCCAATTTCCCATCTTATTTTGTTCTGCGGCTAACATCACAAGAATTACAGAGGAGAATCAGCCAAACAAGGCTTTCTATTTGAATAAGAGGCCTCCAGTGATGAATGGAAACTATTGGAATACGTTTTAATGGCAATACTAGAAGCCAGAAATTAGATTAAACACAAATTTATGAATTTTAGGAAGTTATTTCTCTTCACTTAGACATGAATTGAGTCTTGAATAGAAGATTGGTTCTAATTTTAGTGACATAGAAACATGGACTCAACCTAGGCCGTTGCTGTTCTTGTTAAAAGTGGAGGCCAACTTTCTGCTGGGTTTCTTGGATCACTTGGTGCCTCCTGGTCATTGAGTTGCTGATAAGAAGCTGAGTGGAATAAGACAAGGGTGGATCTGTGCTGTCCCTCACTGGAATTCTCCTTTCTAAGCATTACATTAATAGACATACGTTGGCACTACTGTTGAAACGTGATGAGATCACCTAGCAATATTGTCTTGCAGCTTTTCTATTTCCATCTTGCCTGCATTGGGGAATGTTTAAAGGTCACCATGAATTGAAGCTACTCTATGCCTATTGCATTTCCCTTATGAATGATTCTAGCAACCCAAAGTCTAAAATATCTATGTGGGAAAAGAAGGTTTATGTGGTTGATTGAGGAGCCCCAGTGCCAAGTGGTTAAATCAAGGAGTTCTGGGACATACTGGTTATGCATTGTGCTGCCAACCTCAAGGCCAGCACTTTGAAACCAACAGTCACTCTGGGGGAGAAAGGTGAGGTTTTTTACTCTGGTAAAGAGTTAGTTACAGAAATCCACAGGAGCATTTCTACCCTGGCCCATGGAGTCATGGTGAGCTGGAACCTACTTGGTGACAATGAGGTGTTAACCATAAGCTTACTAATTCCATCTCACCGACTGCTCCACAGAGGAGAGGAGCAGTCTGCTTCGGTAAAGATTCAGTCTTGGAAACCTTAGAGGGCCGTTCCACTCTTTCCTAGAGGGTGCTGACTCAGCGTGGACTCAGCAGCAGTGGGGTTGCTTTGGTTTAGATGTAGCTGGTTTCAGGCAACCAGTTTTTCGTTAATGCCACCATTCGTAAGTTTCTCTAACATTAAGGCCTTCATTGCTAAGTGATTACAAACCATCAGAATAGGTTATTAGAATATTTTGACATAGAAGAGTATTAGAAGAAATTAATATAAAGTTCAATGACACTTTTTTAAAATAGGAAATTTCTGATTATACCTACACTTTTTTTTTTTAACATTTTATTAGGGGCTCATACAACTGTTATCCCAATCCATACACACATCAATTGTGTAAAGCGTATTTGTACATCATTTCTCAAAACATTTTCTCTCCATTTAAACCCCCGACATTAGGTCCTCATTTTTCCCCTCCCTCCCCGCTCCCCCCTCCCACATGAGCCCTTGATAGTTTATAAATGGGTATTTTGTCATATCTTGCCCTGTCCGACTTCTCCCTTCATCCACTTTTCAGTTGTCTGTCCCCCAGGGAGGAGGTCACACACAGTTCCATGTAATCGGTTCCCTCTTTCCTACCCATTCTCCCTTTACCCTCCCTGTTTTGCCACTCACACCACTGGTCCTATAGGGCTCATCCGTCCTGGATTCCCTGTATTTTCAGTTCCTATCTGTACCAGTGTACCTCCTCTGGTCTAGCCAGTCTTGCAAGATAGAATTCGAGTCATGGTAGTGGGAGCTGGGAGGAAACCTTTAAGAACTAGAGGAAGGTTGTATTTCTCATCATTGTTACATCGCACCCTGACTGGCTCATCTCCTCCCCGAGACCTCTCTGCAAGGGGATCTCCAGTGGCCTACTAATGGGCTTTGGATCTCCACTCCACACTGCCCCCATCATTCACTATTATACCTACACTTTTTAAACAGCACTTTGACATATAATTAACCTGATTATAAACATTTGACTTACAAGAGCACATGCATGCTTTCTATCTTCTCATTGATCTTGGGATTCAAATTTCATTTAACACCTTTCTTTAATGAAAACTAAAGCACTTGGATGAGATACTTTTAAAAATAACTCTCGTCTGTCCTTTTTTCATCATTTTTATTGGGGGTTTGTACAACTCTTATCACAATGGATGACATATCCATCCATTGTGTCAAACACATTTGTACATTGTTGCCTTCATCAGTCTCAAAACATTTTCTTTCTACTTGAGCCCTTGGTATCAGCTCTTCATCCACCACCACCACCACCACCGTCCCCTCATCTCTCTTCTTCTAAGAGAAAAACTCAGACTCATTACCATTGAGTCAGTTTCTACTTTTGATATTCTATTACTCTTCTTAGATGACCTCAGTTAAGAATACTGATAGAGGAGACAGTCTTGGAAGAATGGAATAGTTTAATTTTACTTGTTAATATTATACAGTATGCTCCATCTCTCTCTTTTTATTGTTACATATTTAAATATATCTTAAACCAAACTGGTTGTTGTGAAGTGACTCTGATTCACTGTGACCTTATAGGACAGAGGAAAACTGTCACAAAGGATTCCCATAGCATAAATCTTTACAGAAGAAGCCTGCTTATTTTTCTCCCATGGAGTGGTTTATGGGTTTGAGGTCATTGACCTTTTAGTTAGCAGTCAAGCAATTTAACCTTTGCACCACTATGGCTTCTTAACGATAACTTAGAGCATTTTTACTTGTTCTAAGAAAATTTCAGAAGTCTCAGCTAAGTACCAACCACATATTCATTTCTCAGAATTAAAAATTTAGGGAACCACTCCCTATAAACCAATAATTATTACCAAATATTTGAGCAATATATTCCCTATGGAGGGTGGGAATATATGAAAAAGTCAGTTTAATATGATATGAAAAGAATTTTTATTTCCTCATACTCTGGATGTTATACTTTTTTTTTTTGGATGTTATACTTTTAAAGAATACTATATTCATATTGGAAAGTAATTTCCATCTAGAGATGCAAGAAAATCAGGTGTCCTATTTGTAACAAGATGGGATTTTGGAACTACTTTGAGCTGCTCTAAATGTTGAGAATGTCCATTTGTCTTTGCATTATTACTGTTATATAGCATACATTCAGTTTGTGGAGCAACACAAATACACTGGTTCAAATGAAAATTAGATCCTTCCCTGTTTGGAAGAAATATTTCCTTAATGTTCAGGCCAAACTCTTATCAAACTATGGCCAGAAGATTCCTGATTGGTTCCTCAAAGTAAAATGATTTGTAATTATGTTAATAATAGAGAAAGGAACATTTATGGGACTCAGGAAAGTTCACTGAATGCCAAAGTTCTTCTTGCAGGCCTAATTCTGTTGTCTTATAATTGCTTTGCTCCTGTGCCCAATGATCTCATGATAGATCCATTTGACAAATGCAAATAAGGAATACAATTGAGGGATATTATTTCAAAGTTCTTGTATAGCATGGGAGTGAGCAAACAAATTACCCTGTCTTATCATGGCGCTTCCATTATCACGTCCCTTTTCTTGTTGGTTATAAGCATAGCGTATCTTCATTTTATAGTTGTAATATAAAATAGGAAGAATGATAACATGTTGCTTTGAAGCAGAGCCTTTCTGAGAGTCTAGAAATTGGGGATTTGTGTCTCCAGGTTCGAAATACTTGATTTCATATCTTCACTTGGAGAAATTCATGTTCAAATCCCTGCAGGAGCCTTCTTTCTTTAGAGATGGTATGTCCATATCCTCATAACATAACTAACTCAGTGCCATTGAGTTGATATCGACTTACAGTGATGCTGAACATTTAGAGCAGCTCAAAGTAGTTCCAAAATCCCATCTGTGTGTCTCCAAAACTGTAAGTCATTATGGGAACAGAAAGCCTAATCTTTCGCTTGAAGAGTGGCTGGCAGTTTTAAATGGTGGACTGTGTGGTCAGCAGTCTGCTATGCCACCAGGGATCAGCATACAGCGAAAGAGAAATCCTTGAGTTGTAGTAGTTCTTGAATTTGCAAAAGGAGAACTTGAATAAAATAAAGCAATCAGCGCTTATTTATTGAGAGTTTATAAGGTTTCCTACACTGTGAAGGATACATAGAAATAGAAGACATACATCCTGCCTTCCAGGATATTTATCATTAAGAGATAATATTAAAGTATTTGGATGGATTAAAGAACAATAATACATGCCAATATGTATTTCAGCATTCAGAGATATGCCATTGACTGCAAAAGAGAAAAGTTATTGTGTTTAGGATGGACAGTGTCTCATAGATAAGATGAATGGACCTTGAAACATATATGAACTTGAGAAAGGGGAATAGAAAAGCAGAAGCTACACAAACTTGTAAACCGAGTTCTGTTAAAACAAAACAAAGTAACACCAAGGACTGAATCCCTCTGTGCCAAGCTTCACACTAGGTTCTGGAGATCATAGGATATTTGAGAACTCTTCCATACTTTGCTGTTAAAATATTTTCGTGTATCCTAAAAACGTGAATCTCTTGCAAGGGAACAAATCCTTTAAAAGAATTTTGATCTATCAAGGGCTCATGCGGGA